GTCCAGTTGAGCCTGAGGCCATCCCAGCCAACCTCAGTCATGGTGAGATTTTCCAGTTCGGGTACATGTTCTGAATAATGACAAAGTTGAAGTCAGTAAAACTATCACTCAAAATGCTTTCCTTCTGAGAACCCATAGATGGTAAACCTCGTGCCAACACAGAACAGTATTTGGAGCCCAGGAGTAATATTTTGTCCATTGTGTTCCCTAAAGGTGCTGTCTCCTTTAAAACACCAACAGAAAAAAAAATCCCTCTCATAACTTATTTGGCTTTCTGTTTTGAGTTTGTCTTTTGCAAGTATGTTTTCCTATTGATCAGTGTCCTATAGATTTAGAAAACTTCATACATCTGTGTTGATGTGATTCCAGTGGGTTTCCTTTCCTGCTTTGGAAAGCATCTCTGATCCTACGGATGTGACCTTCAGCTAACCTTGGAATCTTGGTCCAGCCTTCTGTATTTTGAGACAGTTAGCAACTTATAGATTCTCTTTGTTTCTATGCAGCTTCAGTCTCCCCTGGAAAGTCCATTATATTGGGATTGTGTCATTCTCTGGGCTTTGGATCTGTTTGCATCAAGCGCTGCAGTAAAGATCAGAAGTAAATTAACATGGTACTAGTAAGGCAAAACTGAGAAAGGTGATGCGCCTTTCAAAATGTTCCCTTTCCTGGACAGAAAGACCAAGGCTCTGGGAGAAAGAGCCTACTAAACTCAATTAAAATTGAATGCTCGGTCTTTATGGATCACTGGAACATAGAACTTTTGTCAAAAATTACTTGTATGCTTTCATGTGAGTGGGGATCATTTGCCCAGGACTGAGCGTGAGTGGACTTTGCATGACCTAAGAAGGAAAGATTTCTGGAAATGGATCCTGTAAGCAAGAGAGTAGCAATTGCATTTGCTCATTTAAAGGAACAATCGTTTTTCTACTTATGGTTCATAATGCTGTGAATTTCAAATGAGCCCTATGTGTCCTAAAAATAACCTTTTAACTTGAAAACATTAACTTGCAATCTGAAAATATCCTCTCAGGGGGAAATCATTTATTTTTCTAGAATATATTTAATCCATTAATATATTTAATCTTTACCCAATTCTGCGGGACATTCTTCATAATTTGTTTAATATCGACAAAACTTACATCTTTCAACTTTCTTTTTTCTTTCTTTTTAAAAATCTATTTTGCTCTAGGACAGAGGTACAGAAACTGTGACTTGAGGTATTTGGCTTGCTGCCTAGCTTGGTAATTAGTAAACTGACATCAGGTTTTACATTTTTAAGTTGTTGGTTTTAAAAAAAGCCCACAGAAGAATGCTATTTCATGATTCATGAAAATCAAATGAAATTCCAATTTCAGTGTCATAAACTGTTACTGGAACACAGCCAGTGCCTTGTGGCTGGTGGCTGCCTTTGTGCTACAGGTTTTTGCACACAGTTGAGTAATTGTGACAGAAACTGCATGGCCTGCAAAGTCTGAAATATTTACCATCTGGCTCTGTACAGAGAATGCTTATGATACCTACTGTGAAGCTACAGTCTATAGATTCTTCATTTAACTGAATTCATGTCTTGGAGCTCACACCCAAGCCTTTGTAGCAGTTTATAACCAATTGTACATGGTCTCTAGGAGAAGAAAGGGACCCCAAACTCAAAGTGGTGCATCTGATTAGAGAAAAGAAAGGAAAGTGAGCTATAAGCTACCTTAAACCCATGGCTGAAGCCAGGAGCAGTGCCTCCAGCTACAACAATTACACCTTGATGTTGGGATTTAAGCACAACTAAACTCAGGAGGACATGTTTCTCATTGTTGTAGCAGTCCTCATATGTAGAGATGTAGGGCAAAAACAAATCTCAGTGATAAATAAATAAAGCAAGAATAAACATAAATAAAATAAAATCACAATTTTTATACCCTTAAACTCCTTTTCTTAGCTCACTTTCTTTCTGTTTTTCCTGCTGTGTAAAACCACAGGTGAGAAATTTGTTCCTAACAATCTATACCTTCATGTGAAGTAAGGTACTGTCTCACTTTTCAGGTAACTGTATTTTAAGCCTTATCTCTACTTAGGACCTAAAATATATTTGCTCCGTGAAAGAAATTTGAGAACCAGGTTACAAATAATGTGGGGAGAGTTCCCTAAGTAGGGGAGAAGGGAGGTGGGAGGGACTGCCTATAGCTCATGTGTTAAGCCATTTCAGTAAAGACTTATAGAAAGAGAGAAGAACCACGTTGGAAAACATCTCTTCCAGATAAGAATCATCTCATCTCTTTGAATCAGCTCTTGCGTATGTCACTAGTGTTTTTACACAATGACCCTCACATCTTGCTTCATCTGTTCGTATAGCCGAGAGAGTCCTTTTCTTATCATACTATGTGGGTCAGTAAATAGTAATAGTCATAGTGATGATCTTCTGTCATAGTTGTTGACTATTCCTACAAGTTTTTGATAGGCAAATCAAGAAAGAGCACTGCGTGTTATCTGAGAGGGTGCCGCAGTCATGTCTTCAGTGGATGATGTACATGGGTGTCCTCTAAAACCCTTCCAGTAAACCAGTGCTTGCCAGATCAGTGAAAGGTGCAACACCCAAAAATACAATCCACAGGCAAATAAAAGGGAAAGGAATGAGAATTACGAAAGGGAAAGGAGGGTCTGTAATGAGTTAAAATGTAACAGGCAGGAGTTGAGGTGCGGACCAAGAAGCTTTACAGAAGTGCTGACTCTACATTTCCATAGCAGTGACACCCTGTGGGCTCACTGCCCCAGAAGCCAGTGTTTCCATGATATACTTCCACACTGACTTTCTTGGCATTTCTTTATGAAAAGGCCATTGTCGTTTGCTTACAGCTGTGCATCAGAATCTACCCTCTGAACAATGTCAGTGGGCCTGGGAAATCAGAATTTTGAAACCCCAGATCTGTGCTCATGGTGGGTTGAGCAGACGGCCTGGAGGAATTTCTGGCACTGCCAACTTCAGATCTTTACAGATTCCCACCATCTCACGGATGGTAGTAATTACCAAGTGCCAGCGTGATGAGAGACCCACTCTTTGTGCTCAAATAACAATTATGCAGGAGAGTGTGTGTCCTACAGTAGGACACTGGTCAAATCCAAGGTGGGGCCCTGAAGGACAGATTAAATGGCCCCAGTCTCACCTTGCCAAGATGACATAATTGAAATGTAAGGTTTGGGCTGTGTCAGCACTGTTTGGTGACTCTGTAACTGTTAAGAAGGAAATCTCTCAAAGCATCTTATGTGCATGTATGAAGTTGCCACAACAAAACCCAATCTTTTAGAAAAGTAACATGCACTAACACACACACACATGCGCGCGCGCACACACACACACACACACACATGTACGTTTGGGGGGTTAAAGAAGGAGGCTCAGGCACCTGACTATTCCATCCACCACCCCTTGCAGATGTCCCTGATGATGGCTCTAGCCTGTTTCCTGCTATACTCCTCCTCTAACCTATAGCATAACTTGTGCTACATGAATGTGGAGTTTTTCCTCCGCTCCTGGTCTTCCTTTTCAAAATGCCATTGCTCCTTCTCTGCTTGCCTGACTACTTTCCCTTTGTGAGGACTCAGTCAAGTACCATCTCTTACAAAATTCCTCTGAACTCTTCCTCCTACTGGCCAGGTGTGTGATGGGAACCTGCCTCTCTCCTTTGTGGCTGTCATATGTTCCTGGTCTAAAGCAGGTGAGTTACATTTTTACAGTTTGGTTGTTGGTTATCTGTCTTTCTCATTGTAATGTGCAACATTTTTTTAGGGAGGGACTGTCTTTCTGTTTCATATACTAACACTGCCCGGTTCAGAGTAGATATGAAATAAATATTTGTTGGAAGAATAAATATTGGAATATATTTGTTTGCCCCATGATAGAATCAAAAGGGCAAATCAAAGCAGAATGTTCTCTAGAACCTGTAGCTGTGGTTAAAAACAAAATTCCACTTTCTTCTTCCAAATGTTACATGAATTACTGGGGTGTCACTGTGGAATGTTAGGTTGCTATGGAAAGACATTGTCCTTGTGTTTGTACCTATTGTCTCTGCTTTATGCTCTGTATTGCTCAGAGCAAATTCATGGCCTTGACCTTCAGCAGGGTTTACTTGAGTTTATCAGAATACAGATGAAGAAAGGGGTGGGGGAAGAGAGGGAGAGAGAGTGCGAGGGACAATGACAGGGACAGGTAGAGGGAGGGAAATAGCTAGCACACTTTAATTTTCTTCAATGCTAACAGTGACAGTAGCTCCCTTCTGTCCTTCTTTTCTTTTCTTCCTTCCTTCCTTTCTTTCTTTCTTTCTTTCTTTCTTTCTTTCTTTCTTTCTTTCTTTCTTTCTTTCTTTCCTCTCTATATTCCTTCCTTCCTTCCTTCCTTCCTTCCTTCCTTCCTTCCTTCCTTCCTTCCTTCCTAGATCTAGATGAATTAAAGACTTTTCAAGTGAATGACTTCTTTTTTTCATCCTTAAGGGAGACAACTGTCTCTGAATGTAGAGATGGAAAATAGGACCAGAGGGTTCAATAAAAATGCTGACTCTCAAGTAGCTAGGTTTCCAAATGTTCATGAAGTACATACCACATGCTAAGCTGTGTTCAAGGCACTTGAGGCACAGCAGTCAATGAAGGAGACAATTAATTATTCTGGCCAGTGGTGGGAGACCAGCCATAGATAACAAGCCAACTTCTGTCTCCTGTCATGGTGGATGGGTGTCCCCAGGCACTCTGGGATAGCACAGGGGAGTACATCAAGAAGGGAGTGGCAGAAACATCACCTGCTTGGAAAGACACATGCTGATTGAAACAAATGAGGCCACTGTTTGGAAAACTGGGGAAAGCGGGGTATCCAGGAAGCAGGAGGAACACCCACACAGCTTGGATGTGGGAGCAGACCCATCATGCGTGAGGAACTGCGAGAAGGAGTGATCCTGGTGAAATGGGCAAGACCATGAGTGGTGGCAGCAGGTTCAGAGAGGGTCATGTCACCCTTGAGAGGGTCTTTGAGCCTCTTCCAGGCATGACAGATAGCTAGGTTAGCCCTACTTTTAATACAATGCCACATCGTGCAAAAGGCTTGTGCTGTGACCCAAAACCAAGGCCAGAGCCTTGGAATTCCCTGCGGGAAAACGCTTGCAGGCCACCAATTTCCTACCCTCTCCCTAAAACCGACAATGAATGTTGGCTTGCTTTGTGAATCTAGCGATTCATGGTTGAGGGTCCCCTTTGACATTTCAGGACTCATAACCATGTGGGTCCCTCACCCAAAGACTCTCACTTTTCCTGCTTTTTTTCTTCCTCTCTGTTTACCTAGGCCAGACCCTGAGGTTCTGTTTCTTTCCATATTCCACAGCATCACCCTGTTTGCCTCTTCTGTTTCTGTGTACAAGCTTGTGCTAAGCTTTTCCCGGATCTCCCTGTAGATTTCACGTCTCCTCTACCTCAGAGCACCCTTGCCAGTTCCGTCCTCGTAACCTGAGTGCTGTGTTGGCATCTTTTCTTTCCCAGACCCTCTGGTCCTAGGAAGCACATGTCTTTGCTCTAGTAGCCCCAGAACTTAGCATGGAGCATGGCTGTAGTATTTTATTGACTTAGTTAATGCGGAAGACTTTGAAAGATAGAATTCAAAACAGGAAAAGAAACATCCACTCCACTATTTTTTTTTTTTTCAGCCCTGATGACTGAATCCAGAACCGCATGTATGCCAGGCAAATAAGTGCTGTACCTCTCAGCTACACCACTAACCTCCTCTGCTCCACTTTTCAGAAACCAAAATAGAGAAAGCCATGGGGGAAAATGTTCTGCAAACAACGTAGAAGAGCCAATGAAAAGAAAAGTTTTCCTGTAATGAGGAACGCCTTTGAGTATAAAATGTGCTTTCTTTGAAAGAGCTTTAAGGAGGTATGGCAAGGCGTTGGGGTGGGATACTGGGTTAGTCAGAGGCAGAGAAGCTCCAGCCTGGGGTTCACTGCAAAAGCTTTATCTCCTTGAGCCCCTCAGACCTGAGGCTGCAGGAACCAAGGTGGGCATAACATCTCTTTGATATACACTTTGTCAAACACAGAGGAAAGCTGAGAGAGGAGAGAGAGGAGAAGCAAGGAAAAGAGAGAAGAGGAGAGGAAGGGAGAGGAGAAGATTAAAGTATCCCTTCTGAGCATCCTTAACAATCATCTCAACAGTCCGCATGCATCAGAACTGACCTCCTGGGCTCACTTTATGCTCCCTGGCAGAGACTGCTATTTGGCTACCAAATTTCTTTCTTTTCTCACAAAAAGCATAATTTTATGGGTATAAAAACATATTTAGCCAGACGTCGACCTCTCTCAGTCTCACTGACAGCTAAGAATGGCAAATGGCAACTGGGGGAAAGTGGCTGGTGAGGTTTCCAGAAGACTCCTCTGGGAAGTAGTCCTGTTTGGAGTTTGAGTTCTTCCTCCATCATGCTGCCTGGAATACAGATGCGATAACTGTACTGCACAGCTCTATTGTGACACCGAGGTGACCTTTGAGAATGGGAGCCAGTGACTAAGAATGATAGGACAGAGAGGAGAGCCTAGATCACTGACAATTTGAAAACTACTCTGGTATCCCTGAACTACCCCCAGTCCCCTTGGTGGGTACACTGTTACTTGAGAGTTCTGTTATACTTGGCTGACTAGATTTAAAGTGACAAAGACACTTCAAGGCATTTCCAAATATTTCTATTGTAATCTTTCCACTGGTTATCCAAGACTCGGTAGGACAACACCTATATCATGACAGCTTCATCGCTATTGTGACAAATGCTGCTCCTGGATCTTGCAATTACTCCTGTGATAGTTAAGCTTAATTGTCAACTCATTTGGCATGGGAACTGCCTAGGGGATTAGTAAAAAATACTTCTGGGAGTGGTCTGGGTAGATCCTGGAGAACTGGCCTTGAGTATTTCTCTTGTCCCTCCCTTTATCTCTCTGGTGCTGTTCTGTTCTGCTTCTCTGACACCATGGTGTTGTGTTTTTTTTTTTTTTTTTTTTTTTTTTTTTTCTGGTACTGGGAAACTCACAACCTTGTACTTGCCAGGCAGGTGCTTGTGCCACTGAGCCAAATCCCCAGCCCCTTCTGCCACCATGAACAAAGTACTTTTGTTATAACATGCCCTTCTGCCATGATATTTCTGCCTTGGGGGCAGGTAACCAAGGCCTGAATCCCCTGACACTGTGAGCCGAATAAACCATTTCCTCCTTTAAATTATAAGTTTCAGGCATTTGATTGCAGCAGTGGAAAGAAAAAAAAACTAATGCAACTGCCTCCCCTTGATTGAACTCTGCCTAACATTCTGAATATCTGGTCTTCCCCGAGGACTGTGAGCAGAAGCACATGGTCCACATAACAGTGATACCTATATGACCTATTTCTTTTCAAATATTGGCACAGTACAATGTATGTGGTGGGATGTTTACTAATTAAATTAAAAGGTTAAGAAAGTAACTTGCCACATCCTGAAGAAATAACATTTTCCACCTACATCTTCAATATTTAGTGGTCAAAATGGAACAAGTTAGTTTTCGTACAGGAGAAACCATTCATTCCTCTGATTATCTCTCCATCTTAGCCACTGATGAAACATGGCTGCGGCTCAGTGAGCAGGATGAATGGGCTACAAGCGACCCTAGAGGTCAGGATTAAGCTGTCATCTGGGCTAGACAAGGTTAACCTCTTAATGACTAAGAGAAAAGAGAAAATGCAGTGACAGGGGGACAAAGGCAAAGAACTTTGTCCTGTTCTTCAGGAGCAGCCTGAAAGGAAGGCAAAAGACCTGAAAGAAAAATAATTCAGTGAAAAGAACCAAATAGTTATTACCCACACTGAGGTCCTCTTTCAAAAATGAAAAGTAAGTTAATGGTTAGGTTAAAGAAGGAAAATAAGCACTGTAAAATATCCTGTGAAACAAAGTTCTAATAGGAAACGAAAAAACAACACAACAAACACAAACTTAGAAGCCAGGCCTTTTCCTGGAAAGAAATATTTTAAGATCTCCATCGTCCAGTTGGGGGACTTGGGTGGCTCAGTCAGCAACAGGATGAGTTAACGCTGGGAAAGGAGTGAGCGGCCCCTGCAAAGTAGACCTAGAGGCTTGGTGGGTAGAGAAAGCAGCACTTTTCCCCATCTGGATTTGTCACATGAGGACAACCAAGCCAAAGGGGTCTGCAGCCTTCAGAGTGAGCACAGGGCTTAGGGGCGTGTGGGGGGACTCACCAGTGGAGGCCTTCACGCGGGCTGGTTTGCTTTTGTGCCTGCCCTTCTCAGCCGTGAGCAGGATGGTGTACTCTTGGCCAGGCTCCAGGCCTCGTAACACATATGAGGTGGTGTCTCTCGGCAGCTGGTCCTCCACTGACTGGCCCGTGGGGAGGCTATAGTTGAGACGGTATCGGTCAAACTTGGCCAGTGGCATCTTCCACAGCAGGGTCAGGCTGTTCTCTGTGGTTTCAGAAGCCTGAAGATCCTTGGGTGCATCAATTTCTAGGAGAAAAACAGAGATAGCTACTCTTTAGGTTGCAAGGAACAACTGTTTCTGAGACCGAAGTCACCCGTCTGGGCTGGCGCCTTGGGTCTGCCTCAGGAGCTGTGTGACTGCGGGACAGTCAGGTTTTGGAGGCTTAGTTTCTACTTGAATAAAACAGGCCTATTTATCCACCACCTTGTTGGATGCTTGGAAGATCAAAAATGATAGAGTGGTATCTCTGTAGCATGAAGTGCTACTCAAAAGTATTTAAAAGGGTTGAAAAGGAATTAAGATGTATTATGTACGTGTACCAATTCCTTACAAGGGATGTTAACATCCTGTACTACACACATGTACTAATGAAAATTTAAAAGTTTGGAGTACTAATACAAAAACAATCTTGAATAGTCTTAGAGGAATTATGCTGAAGGAAAGAAACAAGCCAGCTTCAAAGGCTACATAATATTTTGAGATAGACTATACCTGTGTGAATAGTAAAAAATTCATGTGTTGAAACCTAAACCCTGATGTGATAATACTGGGGTGTGGGGACCTTTGGAGGCCTCATGAATAGGATTAGTGGTTTTACAAAAGAGATTCCAGAAATCCCTCACCCTATCTGCCATGCAAGGACACAGCAAAAAGACAGTCACTTGTATGAACCAGGAAGAGGGCCCTCACTAGGCTGAATTTGTTGGCACTTTGCTGTTGTACATTTTAGCCTCCAGACTGTGAGAAATGTTTGTTTTCTTTATAAGCTACCAAGTCTAGGATGTTTTTGTTAGAGTAGCCTGAATGGTCTAACACTCACAGGACTCCATTTATGTAACACTGGTCAAATGGCAGAACTGAGGAACTGATTACTATACACCAGTGTCAGGCAGAAGGGGATGAGATGTACTAGTTGTGGCTGCAAAGGGTAGCACGTGGGATTCCTGGGATAAATTAGTCTGTGTCTCCACGGTATGGGTGGGTTCACAGATCTACACCTGCAATCAAATCACCTAGAAATAAACACATATACATGTGTACATGCACACACATGCATGTATACAACACTGGAGAGATCTGAATGAAGTGGAGAGATTATATCAATATTAATTTTCCAGTTCTGACAATATTCTCTCAATATGCAAGATGTTACCTGGAGGTAACTGGGTGAAAGTCATGGGGATCTCTGCAGGATTTCTCACAACCGTATGTGTATCTACAATAATACATTGTGTATTGAAAAATATATATATCCTGATTTTGGAAGATTGAAAGTTATATACATATATATAATATTGTATGTAGTTATATAGAACATATATTTTAGAGGATCATAAAAATGACCCCAGCCTGGTCCCTGAACACAGATTTCTCCATGTCTGGGATGTGTTTTGAACCACCTTGCTAGAGTTCAAGTGAGGTGACTTGCTAGGGTCTGGGTTTATTTCTCTCTGGAGAAATGTATACATATGCACACACATATACATATGTACACATATATGCATATAAATGCCCAGTGTTGGATCTTGAATCCTGTGGAAGTTTGTGAGGTGTGATTTACATGCTGGTTACACACCAGATGCCCTTTCCTCCTAGTGCCTGGGGGGAGGTAAGATGGAAACTGGTGGAAAAGCAGAGGGAGAAGTTCTCTTCTCGATACATACATTTTCCAGAAAACAAAATGAAAAACAGAAACCTTAAGGAAAGAATCAATGGCCTCAAATCCTGTATCCCCACCCAGGGTTCCCCTGAGGCTGAAACTAGAGGACACAATGGATAAAAGCAGGAACTGGAAGCCAGGTGTGTTGGCGCACGCCTATAATTCCAGTACTCAGGGGGTGAGGAAAGAGGGCTGCTATGAGTTCAAGGCCAGCCTGGGCTACATAGTGGGAACCTGTCTCAAAACAACAACAAAACAAAATAAAGCAAAAACAAAGAAAAGAGGTTAAAACTAGGTTTAACTGTCATCCTTCTGTTTATAATCTGTTTGGTGAAAGTGTTAAGACACCCCTAGTAGTGTTTTAATTGGAAAATGGCTTATTAAAAAACAGAAATGGCAGCCAGTTTAAATACATAGATTTCTTAGAAAATCTAGTACCAATTTTTCTTTAAAAGTCCACCATTTCCTTTCCTACACAGAGAACATTATTGACATTGCTTAACTGGGCATGCTTGAATGATGATAATAATGATGATGATGGTGATGATGGCGATGACTGATATTTAGTGAACCCAGAGACTTTGACCTCAGCTACATACACAACCCTTGTTTTTGTTTTTTTTTTTTAAATGTTGAAACATGGTCTTGCTGTTACTAAATTGTCCAGGTTGGGTTTGATGTTACAATCCTCCTACCTCAACCTCCCAAGGAGCTGGGATTATAGGTGTGCACCACTACACTTATCGGTGTGACTTTTGAATGCAGGCTCTGTGCTAGGTGACACTAGAGTCCTCTGTCTCCTCCAGGCTTCTCCTTTTTCTCCTTAGTAGGTTTCTGCCTCATCAGCCCTGTGCTATCTGCTCAGGACCAGCTTTGGGATGGATGGAATCCCCCATGTGCTCACCTGTGGCAGCGTTGATGGTCGCTGGATCACTCTCCCTGTCCTCCTTCACAGCGGAGACTCCAATCCCATACTCGGTTCCTGGCCTCAGACCTAGGAGAGAAGGCACAAATCGGGATTCAGCCTGGCACTGGGCAGGGTTTCAAAGGTATGGAAATGTGGCTCTGACTTGGTCCCTGGACACTCTGGTTTCTCAGTTTCTGGGGCCTTACCTATTGAAGTTCTAGTGGGCAGGAATTGCTAGGAACTGGGCTTATTTCTTTCTTCAGAGGGTTGCAAAATAAGGGAGATGTGGGCACAGGTGCCTGTCCTTTGAGGCCCCTCTGGGCTGCTGGACTGGGGACACTCACCTGTGAGTGTGGTTTTGGTTGTGGTTTGTTGACTCTTTGGAACATCGACCTCGGCGTGGTCACCGCCAGAGATGGGTGCGTACTTGATTCTGTAGCTGTCGATGGCTGCCTTGACATTTCTCCATTCCAAGGTGATGCTGCTGTCTGTCTGGGAGACGCGTCGGAGATTCCTAGGTGCATCCAGGCCTGTTGAGGAGAAGAGGGAACCTTTGCACTAAAAATGCCAGGCACCAGGAAAGAAGGGGTCTTTGACAGTTCAAGATGAGATACAAAAGGTGCCGGTCACTGGAAAGAAATGACACATTCTTCTCTCCTGACACTCACACACCCTGGTCCCATGGCTGATACACGAATTTAAACAAACCCTTGACATCTTTCCCTGTTAGCGATGTGTGTGACAATTTTAATCCTCTGTGTTTTTCTCAGACTTTGTGTTTAAAAAACCACAAGAAAATGAAAAAGAGCACGATTGTCGGGACTGGTCTGTTGGGTTTCATCATTACAGTTCTAGTAATGTATACCGTGCTTACTGAGCTCTGGAAAAATGTTTATTGAATAAGTAATTGAGATGTTGGTACTTTAAACATAATGCCATAGGCTAACAGTTTAGGGGCTTTTTTGTCAGTCCTGTTTCCTATAAGCTGTGTTTTATTTTAAACATGTTTATGTAAATTTTATAAATTTTATTTTAACCAGAACTTTTCTCTGAGACTATTGGACTAACATCTTCTATGTATAAAACAACAACAGAAAACTGCTGTGGAGGGTTATTTGGAATTTTGCTTTGAAATATTAACTGTTACAGTATTTCAAAAAACTGTAGAGGTATGGAAATCCTTTCTCCACTTTCCTTACTGCAAAATGAGTCTGGAAGACACCCCCACATGGAGTGGGATAGAAATCCTGCCATCCAGTCTAGGGTGGTGGCACATACCTGTAATCCCAGTACTCTGGGAGGCTGAGGCAGGAGGACCACAGGGTTGAGCTAACTTAGCGATTTAGGAGAGTCCTTATTTCAAGAACTAAGAAAGGGCTGGGAATAGAACTTAGGGCAAAAATGCTTAGTTCAATGCTCGCTACTGAGGAAAAGGAAAAGGAAAAGGGAAAGAGACACTGCCACCCTCCCCTTTCTGTCCTGTTATTCAGGAGATGCCTGGTACCTGTTGTGAAGGTCTCTTTGGCTGGGTTGCTGGACATGTCACCCCGGCGGGAGATGAGGGACACCTCATACTGGGTGTCGGGCTTCAGGTTCCCAATGGAGTACTGGTTCTCATCGTGGGTGAGATCGATGGTGGTGCGGTCACCTGGCACATCCTTGATGCCATAAGAGAGCTCAATGCCGTCGACCTCAGCCAGGGGTTTGAACCAGGTGACGAGAGCTGTGGTGTCTGTGACATCTTTCACCTCGATTTGGCTGGGGGCATCCAAGCCTGTCACAGGTAGAAGACAAGGCACCTTCAGAAGTCAAGGTTAGTACCAGGCTGCACCTGAGAGGGGGGCTTTGGCATCATCCAGACTCGTGGGTGAATATTTAGTTCTCTACTGGTTACCTGACTTTATTTTACCATCGAGAGCCTGTTCCTTGTTTGCTAAGCTATAAGTGGGGATTATGATATCTACTGCTAGGAGTTTTTTTTTTTTTGTCCAAATAGTGAAGGAGATAAAGCTTACAAAGCATCTAGCACAGAGCTTGGCACACAGCAGTTACATAATAAATGGTTCTTCCTTTGTTGGTGCTATTATTATCATTACTGTTCTCATAAGTTGAGGAAATATGCATAAGGGATATTTCCTGAAAAATGTGATGCAGTGGTTCTGATTTTTTTTTTTTTCTTTTAGTTAGGCAAAACTTTCCGGGATGGCAGGTAACTTTTCCATTAGAATTATAGGGCAAGAATTTGATGTACTAGACTGCCTTGATGATGTATGGGAATTTGTTTTTGATTAAAATTCAGGCAAGAAAATCATCACTATATCATGCCTTGACTATGTTCGTATGTTAGACCTTGGTTTTTCTGGTTTCCAGGTAAGCTTGCTTCCTGCCCCACCAACCCCTGTATATCCTGGTCTGACGCTAGCACACTGCTCAGACCTCTGGGAGCTCATTACTGCTCTTTGTCGCCTCTTGGTCTCTGCATATGCTTCATCTCCATAAGGTCACCATTCCCCTGCCCAAAATCTATCCACATTTCAAAATCTCACATATGACATTCTAGCCAGAAGCCTCCTTTAACCTTGCTATAGGCAAACAGTACTGCCCTGAAAGCACTTGCTAAGAGTATCCTTTGCTGTGGTCCTCTAGCAGATTTCCCTGCACTTTGGACCAATTTAGATGGGGTCATTCATGCATTCAGACAAGCAGTTTTTGGCCTTTCTAGATCCCTAGCATAGAGACAGAAGTGTACTATGTACACAGTGAACATTTGTTTCTCCTTTTTAAAGTAGTAAAGTCTGCATTTTCAGCTTTAGTTGAAGAAGTGGTATCAGATAGAAGGTACTAGGCTTTATGCAGGCTCTGAGAAAGGGTAATGATTCACAACCTATTGTAAAGATCCTACCAAGTCTATTTTTCAAGTCTAGGTTACTATAAGTCAGTTTCATCTGGAAGATGATGAACCCACAAAAATGCACAATAAAAATGATGTTATGAATTGTCAGTGATGTTGCTTGTCCAGGGTCCTTACTGTTAACATGTGCCCAAACCATAGCCTCACCTTCCTTACCACCCTTTTCAGGAGGGAAGGGAGGAGTCCATCAAGGACATTGACACTCCCTGCATTTGTTTCCCTGAATAGGGGAGCAGATTGCTCCACACTTGTTTGAAGCGGAATGCTTTGTCGTTCATAACTTTGTCCCTGTGATGGTCTCACAGGGAGGAGGTTGTAAACCCATTTTGCAAATGTTGTATCTGAGACCAAAAGAAATGGCCTTTTCCAAAGCAGTGGTGAAGATGGAATTTAAACTCACAACTGACTGGACCCAAAGCCCATGCTCTTTCCCTTTTATGTGGCAGTGCCTCTCAAAGATATTCACAGCCAAAATAGTCAAAATAGTTATAACACATCCTCCATCTAGCTGCCACAGAGAAGGAACCAAACTCCTTTTTCATTTAAAGCTTACAGTCCTCTCAACCAGGAAAAACTTCAGATAGGTCAGCAAAATGCAACATCGGTCCTTCAGCGTTAATATTTACATAGTTATGGAACTTGAGATACTGGGGTGTTTGTTATTCAGTTAAAAGAAAATAAAGCAACCAATGCTCAAATTGAAATGGAAAGAAAAGGCTGGGTAAAAGAAATGTCTTTTGTATTTTCAGTGTGCTTTCTCTACAGCAAATTAGCATTTGCTTAATCTTTTCTGTGCCTTCCTGATGATCTAATGATTTTTTTCCCGTTGGTACATGCTTTCTGCGTGCCACAGAGAGCTGCTGTTGGGAGGATGGAAAACAGTTGCTTGTGTAGGAGACTCCCATGGATTAGCCCCGAGCTAGGCAAAATGTGCAAATGTTTAAATACAAGATGTTTTTTTCTTGCCGTTTAGTCAACAGCTTTAACTTTTCCAACAACCCTTTGCCAAGAAGAGTCAACTCCTTCCAAAGTTGGTACATATGTTACCTTGGAAAGTAAAGAGGTTTTCCTAAATGGCAATTCACAATTATTTTCTTACATCTTTCTTTGTTCTTTTCCACTCTCAGAAATTTTTATGACATTAGTATTGAGTGGAAATTTTGTTTAGGTCTTATTGTTCTTGTCATTGAAGACATGGAATCAATATTCTGCAAAATCCAAAGCCTATTCAGTGCTGATGGTAAAGGTCTGAAACGAATCATTGCTAAAAGGTGTGGTCTAACTGTCTGGCCTATGTGCATTAGTTAAAGTGATTCAACTTCGTCAGGCCTTAGTTTATACTCTTAAAATATAGTAACATGAGTTAAAAACATCATACTACAGTGGTACAAGTATGCATCAGTATGCCCACGTTTATAGTAGCACAACTCATAAGAGCGAAATATTGGAAATGGCCTCTATGTCTATCAACAGATGAATGAATAAAATATGGTATTGATATACAATGGAGCACTATTCTGCCATAAAGAAGGATAAACTTGAGTGATTTGTAAGAAAATGGATGCATATTGAGGCCACAATGTTAAGTGAAATAAATCAGACACACAAGGTTAAATATTACATACTTTCTCTTATATGAGAAACCCAAAATATGAATAAAGAAGGTCAACCTCCTTTTATCTTATTATCTATGTTTTATTTTGCTCTTTATTAAAGAGGAGATACATCTTTTTCAAAAGGGGAGGGCACCAAGAGATAGAGAATTGGACAAGAAAAAGAATTAAGCTATGTTATGTACATGTACCAATTCCCACAAGTAATGTAATCTTTACATACTGCAAACATATATCAATACAAATAAAATTGAAAAAATTTGCCGAGACCAAAAAAAAGTCGTGAATGCTTGCCTGGGCTTTCTCATGAGAGTGGGTATTGGTATTAAATTGGATGACATGGTAGATCACTGGCAATGAGCTTAATTACTTTTTTTCTTGCATGGATGCACCTTAGAACATGACTTTGAAGTTCGTCTCATCTAAATATACATCTGGTTCCCTACCTTTAAATCTGGACTGGCTTTGAGATTTTCTCTGACAGAAGTGATATCCTGCAGTTCTGAGGCTGAACTAAAGCCACATGGACAACCCCCAGACAGCCTCCTGAGGATAAGAGACCACGTGGAGCACAATGTCACCATCTGGCCAAGGGCATCCTAAGGCCATCAACCCCCAGACCACACAGATGCATAAGCGAGTCAAGGACAGGCTGATTGCTCAGCTGAGACCAACTCCAGATCATGAGTCTGCAGAAAATTGTAAACCATAATATTTGGGCTTTTTGTTAATCAGCAAAACTGAGTCTTGATATCATGAGATGGCACTTTAGCACCCAAAGGGTGCCATGAGGCCCCAGCAGCTCTCTCATGGGTCACAGGGGATACTCACGGGTGGTGGTCACCCTTTTCAGGCCAGGGCCTCGGGTGTTGTTTTTCACGATGTGTAGAGATATCTCATATTCTTGCCCAGGGGCCAGGCCAGTTTGCTGGTAAGAGGTCTCTGGCCTCCTCAGGCTTTTGGTGATCTCTCCCTCATCTTCTTTATTCTGAAAGACAGAGCACCTTGATGAGCCTCAGAGGAGATGGCACCCTCTTCATGTATGTGATTCATTTATTCTGCATTCATTTATTTCTCTTTATTTTTTCTTCTATCAATTAGGTACTTCCTATGCATCAGAGCCGTATGTTAGATGATGACAGCACAGAGGTGATGGACATTTCCCTAGTTTGTTTTGTCCTCTTGCAAATCTCTCTACACCTTTTTTTTTTTTTTTTCCAGTACTGGGAATCGAACTCATGACCTTGAGCTTGCCAGACAAGCGCTGTGCTGCTGAGCTAAATCCACAGCCCCTGTCTACACCTTTTGATAGGGAAGTCAAATGACAGAACATGAGAGCCAAAGGAATTCTGAAACTAGAAACTCAAGCCCTCCTTTGAAAGACTAAGATGCTGGGATCAGAGCAGTTGTTTGATGGACCCATGGCCACACAGATAGTTGGCATCAGAGAACGGGTTAAAATTCAGAAATAAAATTTCTCACTTCACCTGTGCTGTTGGGGATGAGAATAAGGGTTGCCCAAATCTAAGAAGTGCTTTAAGGGAAAGACTAGTTCTTCTTTTCTTTGCCTCTGAGTAGAGATTTGCAAAACAAAATCTAGAAATGATTTAATCTCTATTTGTCTAGGCTCTCAGGCTGAAATGCTATATTTTTGACCTATTAAAATAAGGGGGAAATGAACATAACTTAAAATATATACACAAATCTGGAAAGTGCTTGTCAGAGCCTTATCTTTCCCCCAAAGCTAAGGAAACAGAGTGAAGTAAAAGTCTGCAAAGTGTTTTGGTCATCTCCCATGTCCTGGAGGTCAAATACACCTGCTTCCTCACATCCCTTACTTACCATATTCCGGAAGATGATCTCCCATGTTTCAAAAGCAATGTCTAGAGGATCCCACTCCACTTCCACAGAGGTCTCCTTGATGGACTTGAATTTTAGGCCTTCAGGTGCAGGCAAGTCTGTCAGGAAGAGCACAAGTAGGATGTAAGGACAGGCAGATTAAGCCTACCACAGATGCCCATTATTCTGAGACTGATAACTAAAGATGATTCTGTAAAGGTTCTTCCAGGATACTGTCTACTACGGTACAGGATGAAAATTAATATTAGGACTAATTACATGATTGTATAGTTGCTAGTTCATATCACGAATAAAGCACCGGCTTTAGGATCAGACAGACTTGGGCTAGAATCCAAACTCTATTATTACAAGCATTTGACCTTGGGCAAGTTGCACGGAATGCCTTGAGCCTGTTCCTCTGCCCAGGGGAAGGAGGTAATTATGACTGCCCTTAGGAACACATTGAAGACGGAGTGATAAAGTCTGCATAGACTGCTGGCCTGCTTCCTGGCCTGCAGTACAAGTTCAGTAATAGCAGCCTATGTGAACACTACTAAGCAAGAAAGGGCCAGTTTCTAGATACAGCTTGCTCTTCAGGTGTGAAGGTAATTCTGCTGATGCTAGATGTTTAAAGGAAGAACTTACAGGAAGGTCATGGGGAGAGCAAGGAGGACTAGCTGGTTAAAAATGAGGAATTTCTTCAAGAAAATACTTGAGGGACTCCACTGGGAAGTGGGGTCTCACTTGGTATAACCATGAAAGGACAAGTGTGGGGCTGAAGTGGGGAGAGGATTGCTCAGGGGAGGGCCAGTGGCAGGGTGGGCTCACTCACAGGTGGCGACCCTGGCACTGACGGGGATGCTCTTCTTGTTCTCCAGGATGGCAAACACGCGGATGAAGTACTCCACGCCAGGCTCCAGCTCCCGGATGATGGTGGACGTCTGGTCCCCAGGCACCCGGAACTGCATTTCCAGGCCATTGGCATGGGTGGGTGTGTACACTACGAGGTACTCTGTGACTCGCATCTCATTGTCCCACGCCAGGTTTACGGTCTCTTCTGTCACTTCTGTCACGATGAGGTCTTTGGGAGGGGACACTGGCAGCAATCAGAAAGGACTAGGGTCAGTAACATGCCACGTAAAATCCCCCTAGGTTTGCTTCTCTGGACCTCTGTGTCTTCCACTGTCAGCCACAGAGGTCTGAGGCTCTGCCTTTGAAATCCAGCTTCCATTGCCACTAAAACACAAGTTCCAGCCCTAAAATTCATTAGTATTTGTACTGCGCTGAAGTTTCTGGGCAGTAGCATGGACTCCAGGAGTTCTTTGTAACCTGGCCCCTTCTACTCCTCCACTCCCTGGTCCTGGTCCAGAGTCAGCATGGGAAGGTGAGTCTGCCCAAGTTTGCTCACCTTAGCAAGACTGGGACTCCCCTTCCCTTCCTGCTAGCGTAGTGTTATTTCTAATCAGGTGTCCCTGCTTCAGTCATCTTAGACATTGGGCTCTGGCTACCAATGGCGGAGATCCTCTATGACAACAAGTATAATTTGGATGACTGAGAGAGGCACAAGGAAGACACCCATTTGAGTCCTTAGCTAGGTAGCTCTGTACCAAGTGAATGACCACAGCCCCCTCGGAGTCAGTGCCTGCATATGTGTGTTTAAGAGAAGCATGTTCATGTATGAAGTGAGTCTCTGTGTGTTGATAAGCATACAGTCCTCTGCCCCGTACAAGGTACGCACTCCATCATGGCTATTAACATGCCCATTTGCTTGCTCGTACTCACCCTGTGAGCAGTCGTCCCCGGAGTAGCCCTCGTTGCAGATGCAGCGACCCAAAACGCACTGTCCCAAGTTGCTGCAGTCATTGAGACAGGAGCGCTGTCCACAGTCCATGCCTGTGAAGCCCTCGTGACACACGCACTGGCCGTCCACGCAGCGGCCCTGGCCGTGGCAGTCGGCAGGACACCTTCGCTCTTTGCAGTCTTGGCCCGTGAAGCCCTCGTGGCACACGCACTGTCCATTCACGCAGCGGCCTTGGCCGTGGCAGTCGTTGGGACAGGCCAGCTCTGCACAGTCGGGGCCGGTGAAGCCGTCCTCACACAGGCACTGCCCGTCCACACAGCGGCCCCGGTTACTGCAGTCCCGGGGACAGCGGCGGTCCCTGCAGTCTTCCCCTGTGTAGTCGTCGTCACAGACACACATGCCATTCACGCAGCGGCCATGCTGGTGACAGTCATTGGGGCAGCTCATGTCACTACAGTCGTAGCCCTGGAAGCCTGGTTCGCACACACACTTTCCGTCTATGCAGCGGCCCCGGTTGTGACAGTCATTGGGGCACCGCTGCTGGCTGCAGTCCTCCCCTGTGTAGCCCTCGTCACACACACACTGGCCATTGACACAGTGGCCATGGCCACTACAATCATTGGGGCACTTGAGCGCCCCACAGTCAAGTCCCGTGAATCCGTCGTCACACTCACACTGCCCGTTAATGCAGCGTCCGCGGTGGTGACAGTCGGCAGGACACCTCTTTTCACTGCAGTCAGCACCGGCAAAACCTTCATCACACACACACTGGCCTTCCTCACACCGGCCCCGCCCCTGGCAGTCATTAGGGCAGGTGAGTGTGCCACAGTCCTCGCCTGTGAAGCCCTCTTCACAGTAGCAGGTGCCGTTGAGGCAGCGGCCACGGTCAAAGCAGTCGTTGGGGCAGACCAGCTCACTGCAGTCCTCGCCTGTGAAACCCTCCTCGCACACGCACTCGTTCTCCACACAGCGCCCGCGGTTATAGCAGTTGTTGAGACACAGGGGTTCGTTGCAGTCGTCGCCTGCAAAGCCTTCCTGGCACACGCACCGGCCGTCCACGCACCTGCCGTGCTCCTCACTGCAGGGCACCGGGCAGACTTCCTGGCTGCAGTCAGCCCCCGCGTAGCCTTCAAAGCAGATGCAGACCCCGTCCACACACCTGCCCTGGTCATTGCAGTCACTGGGACAGGCCAGCTGGCTGCAGTCCTCGCCCGTGAAGCCCTCCTCACAGACGCACTGTCCCTCCAGGCACTGGCCTCGCAGGTTACAGTTGCCTGGACACTCGGGCTCGGAGCAGTTGGGGCCTTTCCAGCCAGGCTCGCACACGCAGCCACACCCTTCAGTGCTGAAGTTACCTCGGCCACTGCAGAAGGGCCTGGTGTCCAGGCGGCCTGCAGGGAAGACACAGAGACTCTAGGCAGGCCTCCCCCAAGATTTACCTGCAAAACCCAGATTCAAACTCAGCTGCGCTCTAGAGTCACAGGAAGGTTGTACTCTTAGGCGCTACTGGGCTTAAAAACCAGTTGTTTAGTGTCTGAAATCAGATAGGGCTCATAGCCAATTGTACAGGGATTCTAAACCTGTACTCCCCCAAATTGCAGACTTGTATGTAAAGATAGTGTGTACCGTGTGTGTGTGTGTGTGTGTGTGTGTGTGTGTGTGTATCAAAATCCCGTGTGACTAGTGATTGTCAGTCACTGCCTGTGGAATACATTATCTGGGGCTATGTTACTACTTCTTTGGTTCCTAGTCAAGGTCGGGCACCTAAGAGATACCAAACAGTTATTCAACTGAACTGAATTCTGTTTGTCTTTAGTTGTGCCAGGCATGTGAGTAGAAGTAGATTGAGCCTCTGGAGCTCAGTCTCCTTCTAGGTCAAGTGGAACTGATCCTCTGCTTCCCAGGGAGAACCAGGGTACAATGAGAACAGGAAGTGCTTACTCCTGTGATTCTCTGTTATCTTTTCTGAAACTTCATGGGAGTGGCTCAAGTTAGTATGTGGGCCTACATCATGGAAAGCTTTCTAATTTTCCATAAATGAAAGGAGGAAGCTAAAGAGTGGCTCTCAAGTTGTGTTAGGATGCCTTTTAATGTGACTCTGTCCTAGGAAACTCACGCACCTCTATCTTTTGCCTTTCCTCGTCTAGAGGGTTACAGTTTTGGTGAAATGCAGGCCAGGGCTGACAAATTGCTTTTTGAATCTTAAATATTGGGGTGGCTCAACTTGTAGAAGTTACTGCTATGATCTTCATGAAGCCCAAGGAAGAAAAACAAAATTCTCATTCTCTTCTAGATAGTTGTATTGTTATGTGTTATTTCCTTTCAGGTAGGAGGAAAGAAAGACTTATTTTTTAGAAAGTTAGTTTCAAAAGTGGGAATCTAATGTGCTCTATAGCAGCCACTAGTTGTATGTAGGCGTTAGTCACTGAAAAAATTGTGGCTCATCTAACCTGAGGTGTGTTGCATGCATAAAATACACACTAGATTTTAAAGACAGCATAAAAGAATAAAACATATAACATCCATTAATTATTTCTGTATTGACTGTAGGCTACAAAGCAGATTTTTAAAAAATTGAGTTAAATAAAATAGATGATTGAAATAATTTTTACCTGCTTATTTTTCCTTTCTTTAATATTACTACTGAAAAGTTGAAGATTACATTTGTGGTTATGTTATATTTTTACTGGACAGCACTCATAAACAATTATTACAACCATCTACGGCTATATTGCCCTGAAAGCGCCCGATCTCGTTTGATCTCAGAAGCTAAGCAGGGTCGGGCCCGGTTAGTAGTTGAATGAAAGAACAATGATTACAACCTATTTTTTAGTGTCAAACCTTAGTATTTTCATCTACATTTTGCCAGGCAATTGACAGATGTGCAAAGTAATTTATGCCTGGAGAAAACTTATGAAAATACTGCGTTAGAAAACTTGAGCACTTATAGTACTTCCTACTTATGGTGGAGAGGTCTAATCTTGAAATGATTACCCAAGTACTTCCTGGTACTTTTTCTCTGAGTGGGGCAGAAATAAAGATTTTCATTTCTGATTTGAAATTGCTGAAACTTTCATAGTCTTACCAACTTCAAAGAATGGAGACAAAGACATCATTCCAGAGGAACAAAATTCCTTCAGTGGGATGCACATGGATACAGGGTGTCAACAGAGGATGTGAACTCTGAAGACACGGAGAGGCATTGAAAGCCACAGACCTCACTGTTTGTTGTGCCATCTTGTGAGCATTTGGTTAACTTCTCCAAGCCTAACTTCTTAGACCTACAGAGGGGGTATTAAGCTTTATCTTTAAGGGTTGTTGGGAGGATCAAGGGGATAATAGTGACAGTGCCTCATACAGAGCACTTAGAGGGGGCTTTTGTCAGGACCGAGACCTCTGTCATCATATTAGGGCTCCACTGCATAGGAACTTATTTTCTAACTCCCACAGACTCCACACCATCACAGTTCTCACCACACACTGTGGAGAAATCCGGGACATAGCAGTCCATGGTTTAAGACCTAACTCAGACCCACTATATCTTAGGAATATCACACTCTTTCTAAGCCTCAGTTTCCCTGATTGTTCAGTGAGATGATGGAGCAGGATCATACACAGAGTGCACTTTGGGGCCAGAATTTCATGACATGTTCACAGGTTTTGTGGTGAGGAATGGATAGATTTCATGGCCAAATCAGTTTTAGAAACATCACTGGAATAAAACAGAGTTTTCAAAAGCAGAATTCTTAGGAGCCTTGAAATTTCTCAGAAACATTTGCCATCATGACTTATCTGAGAAGAGGAGAGAGATGGCTATGTTCTCCACATTCGTCTTTAAGAGCTTTTTAAATGAGCACCTAGAAACCCACTTTGGAAACCATTAATGGATCCTGCCATACCCATCATTTGTCCCTTCTGTGCAGGGAAGGGCCAGCCTGCCACCAGTTCCTACCTTCTGCAGGTTGGAGACAGCAACCTGTTCCCATGGTGCACTGCTCCCTCAGGGAGGATACCATGAGCTCCAGCTCCTCCAGCCTGCTCAGGAGCTCCTTGACGTCTGGAGCAGCAGCACAACCACAGGCCCGGCGGGGGATGTTGATGCGGTGCGTGAAGACGATTTGGTTTTCCCCATCCACTGTGTGTTCTTGGATGCTTTCGCTGGGCTCTGAAGGAGGGGCCAGGTCCTTCTCTCCACTGGTCGATTCCAGATCCACAGAACACTGTGATCCCATGGGCAGCTTGATGTTGTAGATATGGTTAAACACCACTGGCTGGTTCTCCTCTGGGAGGGTGACATTCACCCCACTCTGCCGCTTGTGCCTGATAACTTTTTTGAGGACCCCACTTTCTGAAGGGAGCACAAGCAAAGCTAGGAAGATTCCCAGTAATAGCCGAGTCATGGCTCCCATGATAGAGGTGGGCTTGGCAAGGTGTTTCTGGGGTTCTAGAGTCTCTTAGTCTTGTACTAACTTGGAAATTAGAAGCACAGAGTAGCATCCAAATCAGTCATCGTCAATCTTCCCGAAAGAACGTTTTTCTACAAAGGGAATCAAACTTATTAGTATCTACTACTAATTGAATCTATTGGATATCTACATTTCCAAGTGACCTCTGGTTTTATGTCTTCTGTGCTTGGACTTTTCTTGATGTTCCTTGAGTATATACTGTAACGAGTCTATAAAATGGTGTCTAAAGGAAATTTATAATCTTCAAGGAATTATTTCACTCACTACTGGATTTCTGGAAATTTAGGGAGACAATAGAGCAGGGAGGAAAGAGCAAAACATTGGAATGAGTGGACACGGGTTTGTGTCTCATCTCTTACTCTGGGACCTTGGGTAATTTATATAACTTTTCCTTTTGCTGCTTCATTTTTTTTTTTTTTTTTGTGACACAGGGTCTTGTTATGTAGCTCAAGTTGGCCTTAAACTCACCCAGATTGGCCTGTAATGCATATTAATCCTCCTACCTCAGCGTCCTGCATGCTGGGGTTACAGGCAAACACCATCATGCTCAGCCCTTATTTTGCATTATGTATAGTGAAGATCATAATGGCTAATAACAGAGTTGAAAGAATGATGTGAGAGTATTAAGTAGACATCACTTGCATATTCATTAATTTCTTCAGTATTTACCAGCCAAGCCCTCTGAGTGACTTATTAGTGATGTGAAGGTTACAGCCCCCTTTCATGGTTTATAACCCCTGCCTCTAATTACTGACCTTCCACAATGACTTTAACGCTGACCTTCTAAACTGAGTTTAACACTATCTGACAGGTTCTATCAGGGGAGCCAGAGGGCAAGATGAAGGACACCAGAATGCACTTTGAGCTTTCATCTCAGCCAAGCTTCCTGGTAATGTGACTGATGGTGTAGTATTCTCTCCCTCTTTGTACTTTAGTTTCCTCTCTTGATTTATATCCAAAACTTTCAAACGTCTACTTTTCAGAAGAACCTTAACCAGTTGTTTACATTGATATTCACAGCAACTAAGGGCTCAGAAATGATACTCATGGGCCTTTGATGTCTTCTCCAATCCAGCAGTACTTACAGAATCCTATTCCTGGTGAGGCTCCCTCAACAGAGTTTTGTGGATGGTAGAAAGAGATATAAGAACAAGTGTCTATCAGGGGATTTAATAATAAAATTAAGAAGAAAATGGAATCATCCGTTGACTACTTAGGGAACAAAGAAGGAATGCAAAGGATTTATTTTGTAGGTACAGAATTTAATTGTTTATGGGGTTTGAAAGACAAAGGAATTGTCCAAAGAATGGCAGGGTCTGGCATACGGGAAAGGGTGAAATTTAAACTAAGTCTTATTTACTCAATTAGTAAATAACTGGACAGCCATTTGGTCTTCAGTAAGTCATTTCACAAATGGTATTGAGGAAAAGGTATTGAGAAATGGTATTGAGAAGAAGTGCTGCCATGGAGCAGTTCTGACATTGCTGTCTTACTCTTCTGTCTTGTGGCTGTTCTACTATATAGGCACTCAGGCAGCAGAGGAAAGGAGAGGTACCAAAGGGGGCTGAGAAATTACCGAGTGAAGAGAGAAAGACAAGTACAACACTGACCACAATAACACCATGAGTACATGGGACCGTGATCTATACATGGTATGACGTCATTCATTATCCTCAATTAGTAAATAATTGGAGGGCCATTTGGTCTTCAGTAAGTCATTTCACAAACTCACATCTCCTTGTGCCTATGCTATGCTTAGAAGGGCACATTCTAAAATGTCCATATATGTCAATCAGCTGTGGCATGAGGATTGCTTATCCTGTAAGGAGTTTTCCAACTTTTTCCTCAGGAACATTTATCCCAGTGGTAGAATGCATCAATGATTACTTGCTTCATGATGACAGAAATTTTCTGAAAAACTGAGAGAGGGACTGTGGCAGACAAAGTGAACAGAGAAACACTTTTATAAGCTTGAGAATGGGTCTGGAGACTGAGAAAGCACCTGCCAGGCATTTAGCAATGTCTATTCTAGTCACATTCCCACTATATCCTAATTATGTTCATGTTGATATTTTATCAACTATTCAAGTAATATTTACTTAGAGCCTCTCTGTGATTAGGAAAAAACCCCGACTCTTCTGAACGTATTTTCTTATTCAAATTTGTGTCCTAAGTAATTATTTGTGGATCTGGGATATAGGTAATGACGCTGAATGAAGACTCTTACGAAGAGGAGAGCTTGGCACATTTTCTTCTCTCAGACTGACATGGTCCATTTCACTTGTTTACTGGCCAATTATTTGCATGCTCTATTGGAATGTGTATTTAATTCTCATTCTCCTGAAGTCCTTGCCTACCTTTGTCCTGTGAATACTTTACTTCTTTTGTAAGAATCCTGGGCCAAGCTTGAAGTATTTTTAAATTTTACCTAAAACTCTGTGTGTGTGTGTGTGTGTGTGTGTGTGTGTGTGTGTGTGTGTGTTGCTAATTGACTCAGATTTCCATCTAAAAAGCCACTAGAATTGCTGGTCAAGACTCCAAGTTTAGGACTGTAATCGTCAGAGTGTGGGTAGGGTGAGGAATTTTCTGTGTATTTAAGATGGGCACTGACACACTCAAATGTCAAACGAAGGGAAAATCATATCATTCTTGAATGTTCTGCATTTACTTTGGCTCATGGTTCTCTGAGGGCAGGTGGATGATTTTGTGCTTTTTGGAATATCTATTATATCTTCCACATTGTGGAAAACACTTAAACTTTAGTATGAGACACATCTGGGTACAAATGTCACTCACTGGCCCTATCACTTTGGCAAGCTACTAAACGTCTTTAAATCATGACCTCATTTACAAACTAGGGATTGAAACCGTTCCAGGGAGGAATTAAGGGTTAGAGAGCTGTGCAGAGAGCACTCAGCATGGCCTCAGGCCCATAGTAGGCACTCCTGAAGCCACAGCTGCTATTTTGTTGTACTTCTGGGAACAAATGAAACCTAGCAAGAGTCCATGCCAGCAGCCTTCTTGTACTTAAGCTGGAACATGACATCCTAGTGGAATCCTATCTTAAACTCAGCAGCAAGTTGGATCTAGATCAGAGGAGCTGCAGAAATTACTGATGGGTGAGGAGGTAAACCTTGTGAAGATCAGTTTACTAGAACTAGAAATATTTATTCCAGAGAGGGAAAAACCAGGGAGCAAATAACGACCTTCAAGAATGCAAAATATTCTCATGCAGATAGCTGGCTGGTTTATGTCTCCTTTGAGGCTAGACCTGGGGAAAGTGCCTGGAATTTGCAGTGTGGGAGATTTAGATTAGATATAAAGAAACAAAGTCTGATAGGAGGGCTTTTATATCTTAAGAACGAGCAATTTATTCTACAGAAACTCTTTAAAATCACAATTAGATGCTTATCTTTAAAGGAAGTGATCAGTAATGAAAGGTCTGGAAAATATCTTGATGGAGGAAGGACTGCAGAGTGTTTACCCTGTAGCTGAGAACAGTGAGATTGAGGTGGCAGGACTGCCATGCATAAATTCCAGAGAAGCAAGAGGTGTCTCATTTCTCTGGCCCCTGAAAACAGAGTAAGTGCTAATGTGTGGATAATTTGACTGTTGGCTAAAGAAGGCATGTTTCTGCACATAAGAGAGAGATCTTTGATAAGCTGTGTGGTAGGTAGTATTTTGGAGCAGCATGGATTAAACTAATAGTTTTAGGCAGCTCACCAGAGGACTAAGACCATTACTAGAGGAAGGAACCAACACTCTTTGAAATTTTCCCTCATCACAGCTGGAGAATAAACAATAAACAATTTCATTTTTAGAGATTTAGATTTACATCCAACTGGCTAGAGTCACATTTCAGAATTATTCATGACTTCATTTTTAGTAATTCACAGAATCTATTCCTCTTGATCACTGAGGTATGCTTGTGAAATATCTGAGGTTTGGAGGGACAAGGATGATTCCTACTGTTTAAAAAATGCAGATGAATTTATTTTCCCATCGTTTTGGCAACACAAGAGATATCTTACACCAATTTTCTTTTCTGGCTCATATATAGGCTAGAGAATTTTACTGTGTCGTGTCTGTCAAGCATGGAGTTGCTTACATGGGGGTTCTTAAATGTTCTTGAAATTCCTCACCCCTTGTCCTTCCCAACATCCATAAATTCCTTCTTGGAATGTGTCAGGAAGAGCCAGAAGCCAGGAGACAGCTTTAAGTGTGGATATTTTTCCGAGGACACCTGATCCCCACAACTGAGTGAGGTCAGCACAACCTGAGGCACAGATGAATTGAGAAAATTTGAACTAAAACCCAAAAACTCTCCCAGCCCTGAGTGCTTGGGTCTCAGTGCTCAGAAGTAATAATTCCTTTAGGAAGCATGGTGCCTTAATGGGTGCCCAGATGGGATATTAGTGGGGCCAGCAATCACTCATAGGCCAGAGAATTAATTAACTTGGAGATGATTTGTTCTTATGTCCAACAGAGATGAGCTGATGAGTATTATATCAGGCTATAGGCTAGCCTGGGAGTGGTGGGGTGTTTCAGACATAGTGATAGGCAGACCTTGGTCTTGATGAGCTCGCAGTCCTGTAAAGGAGGCAGAGCTTTAAACAGATCCTAACTGGGAAAAATGATAAATGCTAAAATTGAACAAATATCCGAGAAGCGTCTGTGTAATGCTTGAGACTATCTGCTCTAGAGTTAATCTGATACTGCTACCACTTGGCTGTGCCACTGGGTATTAGTCTGAACCACATGGAGTTGTCACTTTTTTAAAGATCAAAATGGTTAGGGAGTGGCAACTCCATATGATTCCATCTAGTGGCTATCACCTTGATGTGGACCATTTCTTCTCTGGTCCTAAATTTTTTCATTTGTAAGATGGTGACATTAATATCAACTCCATAGTAAAGTTCTTTCATCTGTAAGTAAGAATAAGTGAGGATAAATGAGACAGCACATGCAAAACAATTAGTTAACACTAGGGAAGAAGCAGATTTTAGTGTCTGGTGTGCATCATTGCTTGGGTCTTTTTCTTGAAGAAAGCAGTTGAGAGAAGGGTAGTCTC